GCACCAAAATTCTTATTCTTTCCAAAAAAATAAAAATAAAAATGATGATGTTACATTAGGATTGAGGCTTGGAAGTTACATAGTCTGAATCAAATACCAATTGTGTACAAGATTCTAATTTATTGTGTATCTAATATCAAATTTGGAAGTAGATGAAAATAATTTTGCAAGTTGAACAAATTGAGAAAGGTAGACAAATGCATTTTTTTTATTTGATAATTCAAACATGCAATTTTAGATATTTTTTTTTCAAAATCTTAGTTTACAACTCATGTAAATATTGGGATTATTGTAATTTTTTTGTTTGATATCATTATTAAATGAATTTTATGTACATTCAGTTCGTATCAATATTAAGTAGAATAAAATTTTCTATATATTGTTTAATGAATATTACTATTGATACTTCCATATTCAAATGTAATTTTTTTATGCTAATGAGAATATGAAGTACATGCTATTATTATAAACATGAAATGCATATTATAGCTATGGATATTAACATTAATTATTTTGTACAATTATTTGATGAAAGCAAGGTGCAGTGTTATTCTATTATTCAAAATTTCAATACTATGCAGGCATGTGCATAGCATGTGTTAAATCATGCAATGTACATGTTTGTATGCATTTGACTATTTTATAAAATGAGATATAATAATTTTAGTAATATATGTCATTGTTAATATGTATTGAATCAAATGAAAGATAAGAACTAATCAACATATATAACATAGTTTAGCATTGTAGTATGCTATATACTAATATAATTTTAGATTAGTCATTTACACATTTTATATTTTTATATTATTAGATATGGTAACTTTGGATGTATAAATAATTGCTAATGTGTATTAAATAAAATAAAAGAGAAGTAATAATCAATCTTAAAACATAACTTAGCACTGCAGATATACAAACTGCTATTTTATATACATAATCCACGTATTAACTAGATGTACTTTAAATAAATATTCTAATAACAAACCACTCTTTTCAACAAAACAATCTTTTGGAGTAAAAAGCTCCCTTCTATTAAGGCTTACCTATAAGTTGAATATGTTAAAAGTTAATAATAAATTATTTTAATATTTTATAACCTTTAGACAAAATTTAAAGGCTAAATAATAAAGCATGTATAAATCATTATATATAATCTTTTCTAGATTGAATACAAATAGTGTTTATTATATATGTTATTACTCTTTTATACCATTTCTAATAAGTTATATACAGCATAATGCTTTAACAAACCTTAACACAATACACAAATAAATAAATGTATATATAAATATTTAATATAAATATTAACATAAAAACATATTTATTGTAAAAGTAAATCTTAAAATTATTTTTTTTTATATTTTTAATAAAAAAAATTATTTACTATTTTTATGTCATTGAATTATACTAATAGAATTTAATATTTGTAATGTTGATATGATAATAATTTTTTAAATATATTAAAAATATATTTATATATGAAATACATTAAAAATATTCATTTATATATACAATTATATTAATATATAAGCCATAAAGTAACTATTAAACAATATATATTTTATATCAAAATTTTATAATTATCTATTGTTACCGTATTTTTATTAATTATTGATAATATATAATAATGATATCTTGACATAATACTCTTTTAATAGTTTATCACGATAATTAATAAAAGTGTAAATTTAGTCTTTTTATTAGTGTATAATTGGTTATTTTAAGAGTCAATATTTATTAAATGAAAAGCTAAATATTTAATAAACATGAAAAAATATTAAACATGTTAAGTATAATTATAAATTATAAGGTTTTCTACTTATGATTTTGTTTAATTTAATTTAGTTTGTAATATAAGAAATGAAAATTGACTAAATCACATAAAAAAAAACTTATAACTCTAGTTAGTATATTAAAAATATTTACATAAATTTTTCAATACTACTAATTAAATAATTTTGAATTTTTGAAAAATTATTTTGCATTTATTGAGATTTTTAAATGCATAATTTTTGTATATATTGAGTAATGTTATTATATATTTTAATTTATAATTTTTTGTTTTCAAAAAATCTCTTCTATGTTATTATACATTTGCTTTACACAAATATTTTTCAAAAAAAATCATATTAATATCTAAAAGCATATTTTTTTTTTATTTTAGTAGTAATCACATTTTAAATATTTTATAATAAACTATTATGATAATATTCTTATCATTTATTAATAATATATAAATTTATTGTTATATTCTTTTACAGTTTATATACGATAGTTAACAGTAGTGTAAATTGAATTTTTTATCAATATATAATATTTTTATTTAAAAAAAATTAATTATTAAATGATAACCTAATCATTAATAACTATAAAAATTTATAAATATATTAAATTTAATTATAAATTATACTTGTTATGTGTGAGATTTTATTTAACTTAATTTAAATTTAAATACAATAATAAAAACTCTAACTAAATCATGTAAAAAATATAATTAATAACAAATTAGTATATTAAAATAATTTATTTATGTTTTAATTCTATCAATTAAAAAAACTTAATTTTATGAGAAAACTACAATACTCATTTATTAAATTCTATTATTTTACTTTTTCAATAAATAAATTTTTCTATTTTGAATAATATTATTATATATTTTAATTTATAAATCTTTATTTATAATAATTTATTTTATGTAAATATTTACATTATTTAAACAAATAAATGCCCGTGCGTGTATATATATATATATATATATATATATATATATATATATATATATATATTTTAATAAAATTAATGACAGAAATTGTTAATTTTTTAATTTTAATCAAGGTGTTATTTATTATCTTTTATGTTGTTGAATTAAGCTAATAAAATTAAATTGTTTTATGTTGACATGAAAACAAATTCATTTGCAAATGTATTAAAAGTGTATTTATACATAAAATACATAAAAAATATAAATATAATTTAAGATAATGTCTATTGTTTATATAATAATAGAATGAAAAATTAATATAAATTTAAGTATGTTTGCAATTTTATTTAATTTAATTTAATTTTAAATATAAAAATTAAAAATTGAACCAAATCATGTAAAAAAATTTTATTAATAACTTAAATTTATAATATTAAAATAATTTAAATCAATTCTTTAATATTACTAGTTTAATAACTTGAAAATTGTGAAAAAAAATTAATATTTTATTTGTTGAACGAGTAAGTTTTTTCATTTTTAGAAATATTATCTATTATGTGCAAAATAAAAGATTAAAAAATATAATATAAATATTTATATTTCTCAAAAAATAAAAATTAAACATATAAGGTTATAAATATCTGAAATAAATATTTACAGGAAATAAATATTTATATTATATATAAATAATTATTTTATAAGGTTAGCATAATATATATTTATTGATAAAGTAAACTACAAAAATTATTTATTTTTTTCATATTTTCAAAAAAAAATTATTCACTGTTTATTATATCATTGAATTAGATTAATAATTTTATTAAAATTAATTTTAAATTATAACTTATTCTAAATTATAAATTAAAATAAATTTAATTTAACACATAAATATATTATACAATAACTCTAAATAGAAATTAATATAACATTTGTATATTTGGAATTTTGTTTAGTAAAATTTAGTTTTAAATATAACAATTGAAAATTAGAATGAATTATCTATAAAATTGTTATCGATAACATTGAGATTAACATATAAAAAGAATTTGAATAAATTATTTAATACTATCAATTAGATATATTTAAGTTCGTGAAAAAATCTATCACATGCATTTATTAGGCTGTCATATTTTATTTCTTAAAATTTTTTTATTTTGAGTAATATTATTATATATTTTTTAATTTATAATTCTTTGTTTTTAAAAATTTCTTTTATGTATAATAAAAAGTTGAAAATTTTAATATAAATATTAACATTATTCAAACAAAAATATGCATGTATAAGGATATAAATATCTATACGATCAGAAATATAATTTATGTCATACATAAATTTTTGTTTCAAAAATTAATATAAAAATATATTTTTAACAAAATAAACCACTAAAATTGTTAATTTTTTCATATTTATAATAAAAAAATTATTTATTGTTTTTATATTGTTGAATTAGGACAATATAATTTAATTATTGTAGAATTTATATGAAAAAGAATTTTTAATATTTATTAAAAGTGTATTTATATACGGAACAGATGAAAAAAAAAATTATACAAATATTCATATATAAAAGTATGTTAATATCTAAAACATAAAATTAATATATTCTTATTATTTTTTGATAATATCTATATTTTACTTTTTAAATTTTAATTCATTCATAATATTATTTTATGCAATGCACAAGTAAAAGTTAAATTTATTTTATATTTTTTATAAATTATATTTTAAAATTTATTATTATAATTTATTCCGTGCATGGCACACGTAAAAATATTTATATATATATTATTTTTAATATTTCAGTTGATAATAATTACTTTTTTATTTTATTTTATTTATTTATTATTCTTAATATACTGTTTGAATTTGTTGACAGTAAAAAAAGTTTAATAATTAAGTAATACATTATTATATATATAGTTTAACACTGGAAATATATCTTATACGTTTTTTATTATTTTAAAGAAAATCAACTCGTCCATGTTACGGTCTCTAAACTAGATGTTTTAAATAAATATTTAGTAAATGAAGAAAAACTGACATTTCTATTTTAAACAAAATCTAAACAGCCCTTATTTGGTAAGAGTATAGTTCACTACATGGAGCATTAGAACTGTTCCATTGTTTTTATCATGCAACAATTGTTAATACCACCCTCACAAATAAAAAAGAAAAATCAATTGTTAAACAAAGGAGACTCCGTTCTCTACAATATGAACAACTTTTTGGGATGACAATGGTTAATCAAGAGCACCCTTCTTATTATATTGACCATTACACTACGGTTCCTCAACATCATTCCTGGGAGTAACTAGATTCTCCAAGCTCACTGCAGATTTTCTTTTCTTCTTCCATACGATCATCATCATCTTGTTTATCTGCATAATGGAGTTTAGAGTCTTTAACTGGCATCGCCTTTGCTTTTTCTTCTTCCACACCATCATCATCTTGTTTATCTGCAGAATCGAGTTTTGAGTCTTTAACAGACATCGCCTTTGCTTTTTCTTCCTCCATACCATCATCATCATCTTGTTTATCTGCAGAATCGAGTTTAGAGTCTTTAACTGGAATCGCCTTTGCTTTTTCTTCTTCCGTACTATCACCATCATCTTGTTTATCTGCAGAATCGAGTTTAGCTTCTGCAACTAGCATTGCCTTTGCTTTTTCTTCTTCGATACGATCACCATCATCTTGTTTATCTTTAAAATCGAGTTTAGAGTCTGTAACTGGCATTGCCTTTGCCTTATCTTCTTCCATACTATCACCATCACCTTGTTTATCTTTAAAATCGAGTTTAGAGTCTGCAACTGGCATCGCCTTTGCCTTTTCTTCTTCCATACCATCATCATCGTCTTGTTTATATTTATAATCAGGTTTAGAGTCTGCAACTGGAATCGCCTTTGCCTTCTCTTCTTCTATACGATCATCATCGTCTTGTTTATCTTTAAAATCGAGTTTAGACTCTGCAACTGGCATAGCCTTTGCCTTCTCTTCCTCCATAATACTCGAAAACCATGGTGTACCCTTTCGTGCATAAAACAATATATATGCCTCTTGACTCAGCACTACATCACTTGGGACACACTTAACCTGAAGAAGAAAATTTACCACACAATTATTCACTTTCAAACAAACAAGAATAAAAACCATTCAACACAGACTTTGTATAAGCACAATTTATTTGCAAAAGAAAATTCTGAAAAATAACAATGGTATGAATTTAATCAATGTGTTGGTAATTCTTAAATGAAAAATATTTTATAGACACCCATAAAAATGTCTACACCCAGAGAGAAAACAATAAAAGAATAAAGTAATAAAATGCAATAAGCAATACGACACAGCTCGAAGTAAGAAATAAAGTAAAAGGTGTTAATTAAGTATTCAATAATATGTAAAGCATCACCTATGTAGCATTCGAACAGAGCTTCACCTTTTAATCATTGAACAAATCATATGCAAAACTAAATAAGCTCAGGTACGGAAAATTTTGTAACGAAGCTACCTTTGAGTCATTCATCTTATGCCACATGTCAGGGGCAGATCGAACAAAGCAAAAGTAATGTCCGGAGTTATAAGAAGGTCCAACATGCACAACAACTGCATATAAATCATATTTCAAAGGCACCTGTGACATAAAAAATAGTCAAAACAAAGCATTCAGTATTGGAATTCACAGGGGGAAATTGGAAAATAAGTAAAAATTATGTATGCAATTCACAGCTTACATTATCATCATTGCTAATACCGGAGGTATAAGGCTGCAAGTCCAACTCCAAAGTGAAAATAACATGATTAGTTATCTTCTGAACATCTTTGTTAAATCTCTTCAAATGCAATGCTGCAACTAAAGGTGTTTGATCCAACAAAAGCCGCTTCTCCGTTGACAACTTTTCCCCACAGACATCGCATTTAAAATTCTCATTAATCTTTTCAACCTTAGTGAAAGATTCCAGAGCAAGCAGAAGGGTAGTAACATTTTCTATCTCTAAACTCAAGTCAAGCACTGGCTCATAAGTATCAGAAGAGTGGCCACAGTTACAGCAGCGAAGCTAAAACAGACATTTTAAACCATTGATAAGTAAAAGCTAGTATTCAACAATATTTATTATTTTACAATAAAGCTAAAAATGCGCCAAATTCTGCGTCATACATTGCTAATAAGACGACCTCCAAATATATTTTCAACAATGTTATCTTCTCTGTCAGCGAAACATCTTCGTAGTTTATCTAACACACCCTGCATAAACTCGTGTGCGTCCTGCTGCTCTGAGCCTTTAAAAGAATCTGAAATATCTGTCAGCGGGTCATGGAATCACAATAACGAAATCAAGAATGACACCGTCAACAATGTAGTAACGGAAAAAGATACTGTTCAAATTGCGAACAAACTTTCTTGGAGAAACCGATCCACCGGAGGACGCCAAGGAAGCATCAACGAGCTCGCGTAGAGCACATGCCACGCAGAAAGCGCCCGAACCACCTGAAATTCCCAATTCCGAAAATAAATTTAAACAAAAAAATAGGAAAAGAAAATAATTAAAAAAGGCTTACTTACAAGATTCATGGGTGGAAGAACGAAGCGCGTGGACCAGTGGGACAGTGTGTGTAAAGCACTGAAGAATAGAAGCGAGGAAGCACGTATTTCCAAGATTACGAATGCCGGCTCCCTGTGAAACACGGGAAATGAGCACGTGCCAAGAAAGGGGTTAGTTAATTAATAACCAATACAAGAAGGGAAATAACGCACCACCAATTTGGAGGAAGGTGATGACGTGGCATCTGTTGTTTCAGCGATGGAGGGAAAGAAGGGTTCCCTGTAAGTATCATAAGAGGGGGGTTCCGGAGAAGGGTAGCGTCGGCGAATAGTGGTGTACCTGAGGAAACCATCTTTTTTGGAATCGGGAGAGGGTAATGGAGGTCGGTATTTCTCGAACCATTCCAAAGAAGAATAAGAGACCCAGTCTTGAATAACTGGATTGCGAGGGATAATAACGGCCAAGGGTTCTGGTTGTGCTTGAGAAGGTTCGGCGGAAAATGGAGAGAGTGCTCCGAATATGTCTTCGTCGGGGACAAGTGGTGGTGGTGGGGGTATGGGAAAACCAGGTGAGGTGAATAGCGGTGGTGGTGGGGGAGAACCGGATGAGGCGAATAGCCGTGGGGGAGAACTGGGTGAGGTGAATACCGGTGGCGGTGAGGGAGAACCGGGTGAGGTGAATACCGGTGGCGATGAGGGTGAACCGGGTGAGGTGAATACCGGCGATGATGGGGGCGTCGTTGGAGGAGAAGAAGTGGTTGATTCAGGGGTCATTCTCTTGCGGTTGTTTCCTGCTGGTTTTCCCATATACGCCTTTCTTCAGCTCAGCAAATCACTGTTCACTCACTTCTCTAATATTCGTGCATGTTAAGAAGGTAGTTACTAGTTAGTGCCTTTCTTTCTCTGTTGAGAGAGACTGCCAACTCTAAGCGGGAGATGTACACTGTTCAAACTAACGATAAACGGTGGGGAAATTAATTATAAAATCAATTCATATGAAGATAACATTTTTCTTTAAACATTATCTGTAAGTAGGAGTACATGTAATTTAAGAATGATATATAAAAAGGCTTTATTATTTTTTTAAATTCAAGGAAATATAACTTTATTTAGTTTCAATTCTTTCAAAAAAACGATTGTTTGATTGATCTTTCGTAAATTATAGAATTTTTTAAAATAGTGAATATAATAAAAGAAATATTGTTTTTGTATGTACAAAATTTTTAAATAGGAAAATTAATGAAAATAAAATAATATTTTTTTTACAAGTAAAAATAAAACAAAAACAAGCAATGCTTTTTGGAATCAAACAACTCTAAAAAAAATTTATACTGAGTAAGAAAATGATCAATGTCACATGAATATATTAATCAATCATCTTCAGTACGCATAGAAAGGTAACGAAGAATATTTCTTTTTATCTATATTGTATGATATTCAGTCATTACTCATTAGTGTCAACTGTTCCGAACTTGAGACTTAAGATTAATGCTAAAGGTTTTTCAACTTTTCTTACAAATTCAAATCAACTTACTTGTATGTAAATCTAATTTTTATGTCCAAATTCTTGAAGAATACATTAGTAAATGAAATTGGCGTAGAATGATTTTAAAGGAATAAATATTAAGTCAGATGAGTTAAATTTACTTGATATTAAAAAAAAAATCAGCTATCACACCGAAAATACACACACAATGGTACGAACTTGGCTTCATATTTTTTTACGTGAGTTCAATCACAATTTGACTTGACCGAGGAAATATAATACTACTTCATTTTATTTATATATTCGTTTAGAAGTTCAAAATTATATTGATTATTAATACTCCTTTGTCTATGTAAAAATTTTAAGTAGGATAACAAAGCATAGTTAAATAACTCAAGGGTCAGAAAAGCTTCCTAATAAAAGGTAAATTTAAAAATTTATCAAATAATTCTAACAATAATTAAATTATTTAATTTGCATAATTTATTACCTCTCGAAACATATAAATTAGAATGATAATAGTATTATAAAAATTATTATCAAGTAAAATAATTATTCAATATAATAATATCAAGTCATAGAAGTAGGCTTAAAAATATTTACTTTATATTTTTTGGGAAATTTCAATTTCAATCTTTCAATCTCTTTTTCTTTGTCCTTGATTTTTTCTAAATTCACAACTTTTGATGGTATTACTAACGTAACACAACAAAAACAATTGGTATTTGGAATAAAAAAGTGACATGTAAAATCATCTTAATTAGTCACGTTATCATTATCAACCAATAATGTTAAATTTTTTTAAAAATAAAGATCAAAACAAAGAAAAATGTTTGAGAAACTAAAATCAAAATCTTAAAAAAATAAAATAAAAGACAATATTTTTAAACATTATATTACCCCTTTTGGTCAAGTGTATTGAGAGAGGGAGAGAGAAAGAGATACAAACAGGAAATTAGTCAATTCAGAAGCCCTAGGTTAAGTTTAGATATATCCCAAATAGTATGAAGTTTACGTGGAAATGATATGACTCTGTTTCTACCCTTCGAATTGGAGTTTAAGGGAGGAAATGACACACATTGCTTTCTGGCCCTTCAAAAAGGCGAACAATATTCCATTGTTCTATTCTATTTCACTTCGTACTTCTCCATTTCTTCTCAGTCTAGAAACTCAAACATCACGCCAGGTTCGATAACAAGCTTGAGCAGTTACTCCCCTTGCGGATGATTATCTAAATAGATCATTTCTAATTAGTTGGAGTAATTCAAGTAAAAAGGGAGGGGTCAAAAAGGTCAAATATATACATATAACAGAGCTTTGTATGATAATACGTGCTGTGGTAACCTAAATTTTTTTTTATGAATATTATACTTAAAACATTTAGACTAATAAAAAAAATTATTATATATAATTTATTCAAAGCTATATTATTTATATTATTATTAATATATAGTGTATATTTAATTTTTATTTTATTTTTATATTTTTTATAAATTTTTAATTTCAAATAAAATATAATTTATATTAAATTTATTTAATAATAAATTTTTATATTTATTGTATTATAAAATAAAAACTAAAATAAAATTTAAAAAAAATAATATTATTATATTAATATATTTTTATATTTTTAATTCTATTTTTATTAATATTCAATCATTTAATTAGTATATTAATATATTATATTATAATTATTTTTTATTTATAATAAATAAAAATTACTTAAATATAAATTATATTTTATTTTAAAAAAATAAAAAATAATACTAAAAATTAATTAAAAATATATATATAATATATGCATATATATAATAAAACTGTATAACAAATAATATAAATAATATAATCTTAAATAAATTATATATAATAATTTTTTTAACTTAACATAAATTTTTTTATTGATCTAAATTTTTTAAATTTGGTACCTATAAAAAAGTTTTAAGATACTTCAGAATTTACTTGGTATCATAGCATACTTTCGTTCGAGACATCCGGCAACTATGCAATAGTAATTATACAGTACAAGTGACTCGCTGCATCTAGTAAGTCATAAATTTACATAAATTTTTCTCAGAATTATTATTACATTTAAATTCGTGTTCCATCAAAACGATGCATTGAACCACTATAAACTAAAGATTTGATACTGGTTTATAAATGCAACGAAGAAAGCCTTTTCACTAAAGGATGATAGAAGATGACAGTAAGACAGTAACTCGCGACAAACTGGCATCAACTTCCAAAAAGACATTTAGAACATATTAGCAAACATCTAAACAGTACCTGTGATCCAAAATAAAGACACCAGTCTATATGACAAGCCTGAAAATGATAGTATCTTATTTTTTTTCTCAAAGAATTGTATATTGAAAACTCTCCTATTACATTTGAAACATAATTGGCTGGTATTTGTGACGAACTCCACAGATTCTCTTAAATACAGACCACAGTTTTAGAGGATTCGGTCCTGAAGATCTGTCATCAATGTTGAGGCCAACGAGCTGAGCTTCTTCCCAGTCTCTCCTGCAATGTTCTTAAGTGAAGAGAGATCCTGTTGTGCCTGCAAAATAGGGAGGGGAGGGCGCGATGCAGCATCCCATCCAACATCATTACAGGAACTTACATCAATAATTTGTTCCTCACTTCATCATCAAATGGCAAGGAACATGACAATGAAATTACCAAATCCGGCATAGCATAAGGAATACCTGGAAAGATAAACGATTGATGAGGTCACTAGCAGTTAGATCAATGGAGTTATCTCTTGAGTCACCAAAAAGATCAGCACTGGAGATGGCATTTGAACCCTGGAAATAACGAGGATAAACACTGTCATGTATCAACATCAAACACACCACCTTCTCCTATTTTTCAATTTTCAATTACTGGCTACAGAAGATACAGTATCTTATACTCCCTTTGTCTTTGAAAAATAATCACTTTTAACTAACTTAGTTTTCTCAAAATAATAGTCATTTTACAATTTTAAGGTTATTTTTTTTTAATTTTACCCTTAATATAATTATTATCTCAAAACTTATTTTCTATCTTCCCGCTATTCATTTATTGCATAAACAAATTCTAAAATAGGAAATTTCACAATACTTTTAAGAAAAACAAGATGACCAAATGCATTTCTTAGTTCTTGTCCAACAATATAACAAACTATTTTTCAAAGATGGAAGGAGTAATTAAGAATTTACTCAAGCTTGGCGTGGCAACAATTCATTCTAGAATATGCAACAGCATGCCTTTTTCCGATGAACAAAGAATTTAAGCAGAAGCAAAAAATTACAAATTTGGCCTAGTTTAGGTAAGCTTTTAGAGAATTACTTTTAGAAGAAGAAGATCAGTATAAAAAGTTAATAAAATCTCATAAGTTAAAAGCAACTTATACTCTTTTAAGTTTCAAAGAAGTTAAATGAGAGAGCTTTTAAGACAGAGAAACGCAAGTTATTTTTAACTTACGGGAAGAGTTTAATTCATTTTACTACTTAATTTTTTACTCCTAATAGAACTTATTGAGGAATTTATCCAAACTGGGCCAAAGACAGAGGAAGATAAGGAATCCTTCTAAACAAAACAACAAAACAGAAAACAAAGAAAATATATAATCAACAGAATAAAGTTTCCCAATCCCTAAACATATCTATTAGTGAAATCACATTAAAAAAGGTCATGTGCTTTATACCAAACAGATGCCAAACCTAATACTATGCTAGATATAAGTATGTGCCACAGAAACATTAAAAGTACAAGAGTTCCACTCAAAGAAATGTAAAAAATACTCTCCCATAAAGCACAAAAGCAGTTCATCCTTGCAATAATAAAACGAGAATTAGTACCTTTTCTTGCTACCACATGATTGACATTATCCTCCACTCAGACTAGTTACAGTTAAATCACAAAATGAACCACCCAAAGTGCAAAACAGTTAACATCCTGTGCTTTCAGCCATTCCACCACATACAACAAGCTTGGCGTGTTCCAGTTAAACAGTCAACAAGAGAAAGATAGTATGTCATGTCTCTTTTTTTATCTGGTTGCCTAGAACAACCAAAAATGCAAAAATTTTACATAGATTCACCTTTCCTTTTACTCTCTAAATCTTTTTGAAAATTTGAATTTCCTTTACCTCACTCATTCCAATCAACCAACACTGACCTATGTTGAAAAGACTAAGAAAATTCATTCTCAAGCGGAAAAGCAAGTTCAAACATGAGATTGGGTAAATTTCAAGAGTAGTAATTGATGCATTACTATTCTACCAATAACAAAGAAAATTAGCCTAACAATTTATAAAAGCATACCAAAAAAGCAGCAGAAAATAAGGCCTTGTGCTACAGAATGGGTTGCTACATGCTATTATTACAACTCTTTGGATGTTTATGCTTTAATACAAGTTCTGCCAACCAAAAGAATATGTGATATGATAGAAACCATCTAATTTATTCTCAATGAAGCCCAGATACTCCAAAAATGGACAAATATCAGATTTTTCAGACACTGATGTGTGTATGATACTCTTAAGATACATATCCAAGGAATATCCACCATTTCCCTTCTATCTTTTTAGAATATTATTGACCAATACTCTTGGAATAAGGATCAGATACTTTAAACAGGAGTAAAACTACACACTGCTTTTCCTCTATATCCTTAAAATTATAGCAAATAATAGACAATTATACAGAGCCAAGACCAATTTTGAATAGGACTAATGATGCTTTTTGTGACATTCTAACACGGGTTCGAAAAATATGCAATTCTTGTGACATGTTCATATGCGGGAATATCTTCTAATATGGACAAAATAGATATGCAACTATTTTTTTTTATCACGAGTGTTTCTTTGTAAATTGTGATTACCATCCACTAATACAGTCATGTATTACTGATAAACAAATATATTATGATGCTTAAACCTCTTCACAAATATTCAATTTGCAAGAATTTATCATATCCCATATCTGCATCAAGTTGTACCCATGTTATATTAGGTATCTAAGCTGCATAGTAGAGCCACATTACAAGGGATGAATATAAAAAATCTACATAAAAGCATTCTCACACTATATGTTCCAGCAAGAAGATACACATACCGAAAACTTTGACAAAGTAACTTGAGCATCCGCATCTGCAGCCTTGCTCTGATCTCCAAAAAATTGGGATGAAGAAATAGATTTAGCATTCGAGAACTTCTTTCTTGCTTCATCAGATTCCTGAATCTTATATACCACATAAGTAAAACAAAATAAGGTGCAGGTTAAACAAATTTATAGTAAAAAACACTACCATATGTTTTACAGGCCATGTCTATAAAAGTCAGATGAGAAAACAAATGAATGTTGACAGGGCACTGGAATACCCACCATGTAGATAAAATTTTCAAAATACAACAATTAATAGCCATTAAGATTACGTAGCAACAACACCAATTCAACCATGATAATCAATATCTTTTGGCCTATGACTGTAACAATGCTTATTTAAAAATTACTCTTAAAATAGCCATGTCTAAATTGTGCTATCCAGCTTATCTTTCTTCAAATCCATGTCTATATAGCATGACTTGGTCAAATAACATCAGTTCATTGTTTCTGGGGTTATCAAGTTCAAGCTTAATCCTAAGGATTTCATTGTTATACTATTTCAGTTTTAAAGAATATTGAAAGTCCCCAAGCTAACCCATGCAAGATAATTAAGATGAAATAGTATCAAGTTATAGTACACAACAGACATTTGCAATCAAGTTGTTCTCAGTCCCCTCCTCAAATACCAATCTCCCAGTTTTTGAAATTACACTGATATCATTTTGTAAATTAGATTTAGGAAGTCAGCAAATCTTTTAGAACATACTTTAAATACTTGTATATTCATGTGATTAAAATGAAATGTATCTATAATATATAATTCTACGTGTATGCTTGTATGCTGGCAATTTCTCCCACAGTTGCAACCATCATATTTTGCTAATGGATCCATATGTTATAAGAAACTTTGAAGTTCGATATATATATATATATATATATATATATATATATATATATATATATATATATATATAACTTAAGAAATTACACTATGCAGGGGCAAAAGTTGCAGTCATGTGGCTTACTTGCACTTTTGAGGAGCTTGGCCCAGATTTCTTTGAAAAGCCACCATCCATTCCGAAGTCCGCAAAGAAGCTTGATGACTTTGGTGGAGTCACATGACTAATTACATGTGAACCTCCAGAATTCAACTCAGATGATTGGACATTTTCTACATACTCAAACCGAGATGTCAGAGATGGCCCAGCAGACAAATTGCTCGTTGAGGATGAAACTGGAGCAGGTGGTTCTTCAGGCTTCTGCTCATAGAGTGACTCACTTGGCTGCATCTCAAAGGATAATACGCCAACCATTCATATCATCAAGTTAACATAGAGAATGAGATAAAGATAAACAAACCATCAGGTACTTTTAGAATACAATTTCCAAACCTAGATAACTATATGCATACCTTTTTAGTGAGCTTACGAGCACCAAGCCCACCACTCTTCCCAGTTTTTTTAGCACCAATAGGTTTCTTGACAGTGCTTGAGACTATTGTATGCAAAGCTCTAGGTGAAGTGCTCTCAGGATTTTCTGGCTTTTCCAGACTGTTTTCTTTTGGTACTTCATGTGTCCTCACTTCAGGCAGTCCATTAGCCCCATGGGAAGACTGTGAAGCAACAGGTGATGAAGGCAAGCTTCCACCATCCTCGGCCATACTTTTAGCTACTTCCTTTGAAAGAATTTGCCTATACAATTCAGCAGCTCTTGATGTATACTTTGCCTCTATTTTACCACCCTCAGTCCAACCATGTTGCTTAAAGAAAACCTGTGCACGATTGTTTCCTCCAAAACTCATCATTTTTAGTTGCTCAGGACTCCATGAGTCTAAATTCGTAGACCTACAGATAAGAGAGCATTTAGTTACTTAGCTATGAATCTTTTCTTCTTTCTTCCTTCTAGTCAACAACTTCCTTTGCAGAAAAATGTGAAGCAAAATTTTAATTTAGTGATAAAACTGCTAAGCATTTCAAATTAGACATGTAAAGCACAATAAGATTAAAAAAATGAGTAAACGTCCTCAGGGCTTGTCGAACTACAGAGTCTTTAGATTAAGAAATCATGCCTGCCTCCTCTCCAAAATATTTTATAAGACAGATGCCTCCTGCCCAAATTTATGCCGACATTTATCCCTGAAAAACCCAACTAAAATATCCATTTGCAGGGGTAACATGTTTCTCCTAAAAACTCTCTTTCACTCAGTACAAATGCAAACTTGATCTTTGGTAATTTCAAGATTGCTTCATTTATGTAAGATTATCTGTTTAGTTGCTCCCCTTAGATTCCACATGGCAACTCTAGGAGCAGAGTAAAATAATAACTTACTGCTTATAAGCAGTTACACTTTCAATCCCATTGAGCCCAAACTCTTCTCTTGACTGAATAATCTAAAGTAATGAAAATAATAGAAGGCAATCAGAAACAATAATGATACCCTGGCTGCATCCTCACAAACCCCTCACAATCCCAGACTCTCCTACAAACCAACGGATAACCCTTGGCTGAGTTGGCTCTACCACAACTTTTTTCAGAATGACCCAGATAAGTCCATTTTCAAGTATGTGAGAATAGTGTCTGCAAGGATCGTTACTATGTTCAAAAAAGAGTTACACAATGAGAAGGTATAATAGAAATCCGCAACAAAAAAAAAAAAAAAATCAATATTGTCAAATCACGTATAATTTCCGTATCATACAGTGTTATCCCAATTTCCATTAAAAATACGGCATCCCAACACAACAATAAGCTTAAAACCCATGTCTTCCCCCTCTCGAAAAGAGACACAACACATCAATACCGACCGGCATTTATTTATTCTATGGTGTTTCAATCTCAGTTATTTCACCCTTTTCAAACCACATCAATACCAATTCCATCGACTATTCAAGCTCTAACCGATTGAGTTGGGAAAATCTCTAAAGATGACACAGCTCAGCAACATAACGCACTATTCTAAATTCATCAACATGCACAATCGGACCACACCGCTACACCACACAACACTCCTAATACAGAATCAGCTACACAATCAAATTGCACAGACAGTTGCAATATAAAGCCTCAATATTTTCATAATTTAAACAAAATCAGAAAAAAAAAAAAACTTGCCTCACGAAGCTGATGTGCACCCCGAGACTGCGATGAACGGCGGAGCAATCGATGCAGATGAAGATCCCATACGTGACAGACGCCCAGGTAGGGTTCTTCGCATTGCATTCGAAACACATCTAAAAATAATAATAATAAAACCATACAAATTAAAAAATTCAAACGCACGAGCACGGGTATCCCAGATCTGAAACCAGATCTCATAAACCAGAAAACACAAATGAAAATTCGAGGCTGTAAATTAAATAATCATGAAATCAGAGATATACTGAAATTCAAATTCAATTTCATAAAGGAAGAACCTTATTTTCAGACTTGGCCTTGAGTTTCCTGAACACAGTGTTCTTGTCGGTGAAGCCCTCAGACGCCATTAGAAGATCAAAACCGAAAACGAAAACGAAACGAAGGTAAAACGGAAACGGAAATGGAAATGGAATTTAGATTTAGAACTTTTTTTTTTCTTTTTTAGCTTTAAACAAATGAATCTCAGGGGTGCTGGGGGGAACAGGAACACCACCTGAGCAATATAGATTGGGGGTAAGAAAAATTTGCAGGCAGAACCGCAAATATTGTTCTCTGTGCGTTTGTGTTTTTATATTTATCTACCTCGGTTATCCCTCGTCTTAAAAAGGAGCTTTTTATCAGGAAAACGAAACGAAAATTGAAATGACGAAACTGCCCTGCAGAGAAATGAGGGATGGCGTTGTTGGCCTCTGGGTTTTCCGGAGTCGGTGAATGGTTGCTGTCCCTGACCAAGAGAGTACAAATATACATTTCTGAAATGATTTAAACGTCGTCGTCTCTCAGAACTATTTAATATTTACTTTTTATGTAATTAAAACATTTAATAAATTATATTAAATGCTCCTTTATCAAGGCGCCCAAGGTATATTTTCTAAAGAAACATTTTCAAAAGTTGAAAGGTTAAATTCTTATATTTAATGGATATATTTTGAAAAACTACTTTTAAGAAACTAACATTTATAGGAATTTTTTTAACAAAATTAAAAAAATTCACAAAAGAAATAGGAATATAAAATTTAATAAAAAATATTTTTACAATATAAAATAATTATAACTTTAAATACTTTTAAATTTAATCTTAATTAGGACTCCAAGATTAAAATTCTCAAATCTAGTAATAATAAAAAAAGATAAAGGAATTATTTCCATAGCATTGGTCATAGGAAAGAAGGGATTAAAGAAGAATAAGTAACCTTTAACAAGTAAAATTTCTAAATCCATATTTTAGGAATGTGACGGGGTCACCTGCAACATAAAGGTATTTATATGCCTCCATAGAAACGTCTAATCCTTACTCTCTAACTCAACTCAGAAGGGTGTAGCACTTGATGAAGATCAAGCCATGAATATAGAACTTAGCCAAGAAAATCATTTTAAATTTTTAGAGACACAATTAGCAAACACTGTAATTCCAAGAATGACAAGAAATAGAAAGGATTTTATGATGGAAGTGGTAGGGGATGCATCTCTAATATTTAAATCTCATACCCTTATGACTCACCTTATCATAATGCTAGAATTTAAAGAACTTTCAATCCCGTCCTAAAATATTAGAGGAACTGGTAACAAGAGGAGACAAATGCATGTTAATGATGTAACACCTTAATTTAAATTTTTAAATAAATAAATTTCATAAAATTAGGAATAATAAAAATTTTCATTCAAATGGTTCTCAATACATTGTTCAATGAAGTAATTCAAAATAAGGATGGGTTACAATTTATATCAAATCATTGCTACAGGACTAATTTAATTACATTAGAGTTTTCAAAAAATAACTTTCTAAGCCCTATAGCAGTTTCATCCACCTCTTCACTAAGCTCAGTGCTAATCGTCTTGGTCACCTGAGAAATAAATGTAAGGGTGAATACTCTATACTATTACACACACATGACAAGTATAAGGTCTCACATTGCCCATTCCACATATTTTCTAACATAATTTAAATCATGCATCCACAAGTACAAGATAATAATCTTATCATTTCAAACTCATTTACACACAGGTGCGCTCACTGCACTATCAAACAGTTCACATAAAACACCCATATGCGCTCACTACACATTAGTCACACTCACTGTTGGCACTGTAATCATAGATTCTTGACACCCTCAACCTTAGAGACTTACTCAGTTTTACACCATAGATGGTCGCCGGAAGCTCCCGCTCCACGAATACAACGTGTGCAATCATGAGCTTCTTAAGCAAAGATGTTAGTCAGAGGCCGAGTTAAGAGGAGAGTGTGTGGCTTATGGTGCACCTATGTTCACTGTTGGTATCCCCACCACCCTCTCTTCCCCGATTATTTCTACTGCGCCCATCGTCCATACCCCCAGTATATCGCTTTACCATTCATAGTTTTTCAACATTCCAAACATCATCGCAATCACACCCAACATGCCATTCACATATATTTCCAATCATTTACATTATTCAACATCAATTAATGGCATGGCTAATGATAAATTCATATTTTACTAGTATGTTACCCTAGTTTTAATACCTTTGATAAAGAAAACATATTGGAAAAAGCAGAAAAACTCGTAAAAATAATAAAATGATTAAAGTTTTCTCTAAACACATAGTTGTTTGAGAACTTATGAATTTTCTGTGTAGAAAATAATGATTCAATCATATTTTTGTAAGAAATTCTAAGCTAAGTTCATGAGGTTGGAAAATCAAAGGAAAGATAGAAGGAAAGTAGCAAAAATAGAATCAAGGAACAAGTGAGCGTGATCACTATCGCTAGTGAAAGTGATCATTCCAGAGCTTGAAAGTGGAGGGAAATCTGCGCATGATCACTTTTGCTTATGAAAGTAAGCGTTCCAGAGAAGCTTCAATCATAGCAAAGTGCGCGTGATCACTTTTCCTGGCAAAAGTGATCGTTCTAGAGAAGCCTCTAGGAAAGCAAGCTGCGCGTTATCACTTTTATTCACAAAAGTGATTGTTCCAGAGAACTTTCCATCATTGCAAAGTTGCGTGTGTCTCCTTTTGCCAACAAAAGTGAACACGCGCATATCTCGACCTCAGCATGGCTACTTTTGTGAAGAAAAGTGATCATTCCAGTTATGAAGAACATCAGAAAGGCCTCTACATGACTACTTTTATGAAGAATAGTGATCATGCCAGAAAGGCGAAAATTCTATAAATATGAATTAGCTCAGATATCTTGGAATATTTTGTTCATTTTCACTTCTCATTTGTTTTCTGGTGTTGAGAGAGTCTAAGAGAGAGATTGGGGACGAACACCAAGCTTCAAATCTTGAGGAATCGGATGGAAGATTGGCTTGAAGATGCTTCTTCGTTCATCTTCTTCTTCTCTTTCTTTCTCTTCTCATTTTGTAATGGTTGCTTAAACTCTTTGTAGTTAGGGATTGTGAATCTGAAATGGAAGTGTTGAATTGATTTTGAATCTGAACTTTGAGTATTGGATCGGATTGAGTAATTGATTTTACTATTCACATAGTGATTGAATGGAAATTTGATTAACTAATTACAGAGGAACTCTTATCAATGGAAGTTGAATTTGTTTCTCAGACCTGAATCAATTACCAAGGTTATTGATTTCTTAGGGATAAGATATCTTGATCTTGCAATCTTCTGATTTCTAATGCTTAATGCAACATTTAATTGAACTAGATCTAAGAAATTAGAGTGATTTAGTTAAATGTTAGATTCATTGAATTAAAGAATTAACCTTTGAATAATAAATCGTGAAACTGATTGTCATTCCATCTAAATACTTGAAAGTTCAAAATTTTATTGAATCAACACTGAAGTTTTGGTGAAACAAGTCCCTAACTATGTTTTCTACATCTGTCAAATACATATTTTCATATTCATTGTTCTGTTTTGTTTTCTAATTTCAATATTGGTTACTTTTGCATCCAAACTTTATTTGAAATTCGTGAGACTCAACTAATTGTGGACTTGTAAAGTGATAATTGAGAACTTTATTCCCTGAGAATGATATTTGAGACTCAAACACAGTTCTAACATTTTATTACTTACTACAATAACACTAGTACACCTGCTAGTCAAAATTACTTCTGTTAAGAAAGTGACATCTAAGCATTTCAACCACATACTCAATCATATCATGATATTCAATTTTACACATAGCACGTATGCCCACATTCAATTACATTACACGTAAACATCAAATCCTCATCAAAACTTCATCACAATCAAATTATTACATCACAAACATTATGCTCAATATTCATTTCATCATGCTCAATCAAGAATCTTCTATCAAAACATGCCTATCCCTATATTTTATCTCAACCATATTGCAACCTATAGCAAATAAACAAATTTAAAACAAAATGAGATAGGATAGAGTCCCATTTACCTCAAAATAAAGACCCAATATGAAATAGTAGCAAAAAAGTCTCCCACGTGGTATTTCATCCTAAATACATGGAAGAATTCTATGAGAAACCAAATAGAATTGAGAAAACAAGGAAGAGGGGTGAAAATTGAAATCCTGGCCATAAAAACTTACTTCCAAACGCTCCCAACACAATCTCAACCTTCAATCTAGCTCACAAACAACTTTGGAGGTAGTTTAATCGATGAAATAGGGTTGAGAGTTGAGAGAATCAAGGAGATTTCAAAGAGAGGAATGGGAAAAGAATTTTCCAAATCCTAAGCCCTCAAATACCCTTTTGATCACGATATTCTCGCTACAATGAGACATTCCTCGCTACAGCGATACCCCCTCTCGTTATAGCGAAAATCTCAAATGAATTTACACTCTGGTTTCTGCAGAATCTCGCTACAACGAGACTGCAACCCAGAAATACACCCCTTTCTATTGCTTTCTTACTATAGCGAGGAGCCTCTCGCTACAGTGAGAAGGTAGCAGAATCATCCCTTTTTCCCAGGACCTTCTCGCTACAGTGAGAATGCCACAGATTCATGCTATATGCCGAGGGTCTTCTCGCTACAGCGAGAATGCCCCTGCAACACACACTTAGCCTATATTTCAAACAATTCCAGCCTAATCACAAGTTCACATTACATTTCAACCACACTATACGGATACCTTCACAATCATATTTATATCCAACTCATCACATAATCAAATACACATTCAAACATCAATTTACATATTTATATTAACAATCTAATAATATTACAAAATTCAGGGCATTACAACTCTCCTCTCCTTTAGGAAATTTTGTCCCCGAAATTCAACCAAGCTATACAAACAACTACGAATATAGTTCTCTCATTCTACTATCCTTTTCCCACATGACATCTCCTTCGTCACTCGAAATCCATATCACCTTCACCAATGAGATTTCTTTGCCCCTCAACTGCTTGATATGATGATTCAATATGCCTTTCATTGATGTTATCTCCAAAATGTTGAAATATGCTAAATTTTTAAAGGAGATTTTGACCAATAAGAGAAAGTTGAGAACACATGAAACTGTGAGGCTCACACAGAGTGCTCAGCTATAGTCCTTAAAAAGCTTCCACCTAAGCTTAAGGACCCAGGGAGTTTTACTATTCCTTGCATGATTGGAAAAACTCATATTGACAAGGCTTTATATGATTTAGAAGCAAGAATTAATCTTATGCCTTATTCTGTTTTTAGGAAGCTTGGAATGGATAAACCGAAGCCGACCTCCATGTCACTTTAGTTGGCAAATA